CCCACTTATACACAAAAAGAAAAAAAGCATGAGCTTTTTAATTTCTGCAGTTTTTTTGTTGATATTAAGGACTATGGTGAAGATCTTAGCTAATATATAGTATGCATGTTAACAAAATTGAGATGCAATGATATTTTGTAGTCCATAGATGATGGCAATCAAATGAATATTTATAAAACTACAAAAATAGCTAAAGGATTGGGGTCTAATCATGTTCATCCTTACTAATATTGAGTTGTAGTGGTACTTAGCCTAGGCATGAGAAATACTTGACTGTATATTTAGAGCTATGCAGTTAAGAGTCTGGTCAAGTTGTACTTGGATTTCATCAAATTGATTTTGTAATCTAAATAAAAAATGTAGAGAGCAATCAATATTTGATTGATGTATCAGTTGCTGCAATTTGCCCAAAGAAAATTGATAGTGAATGATATTGGTATTTTGTTTCCAAGTTACTTTATACAGCTTAAGCACCAGATAGGTTAAAAATGGTCTTATCCAACGATCCTCTACAGTAGCATAGTTAAGAAATTTCTTGTGCTTATTGCGTTTGCACCCGTTTAGTTTCAAAAATAATATCACAAGATAGTTTTGTTTTTATTACAGTTTTGTTTTTATTTTCATCTTGTAAATTCAAAACTCATTTTCCCAGAAGGGTAAAAGTGGAACAAAAAATAGTGTCTCTCCTATAAATAATTTTTAAATACTATTCTTACACAAAAGGGCTGACAATGTGATGAAAGTTGTTATTCTAAAGATGATAGGTGTGATTTCTGAAAGATATGATGAAATGGTGTGATGAAAGTTGTCACCACAAAAGGGTGTGATGAAAGGTATGGGGTGCTAGGTGTGATCGGAGAAAACCTCAAGGGAGGTTTCTGCAATTAACCCATAATTTAAAGTGAAACCTTATGTCACAACTGAGTAATTTGACGTGTGTATGTGAAAAGATGCGCAAATTAAATTACAATTGGATGAATTGATCGGGCCAGGAAATCAGTCAACAAGTTATTGCTTCAAGATTTGATAAATTCCTTCCCGTTTGCTTACTGAACTGTGCATTTTTTTCCTATTTTGTTAAGTAAATTAGCCTGAGTTGTCTCCACGCGAATATCCATACACGGCTTGGCATGGAATCGGCATCAGGATGTGCAACTGTGCCCAACTACTGTCTTTTCGTTTGTGCAAATGGAAGTTTTTTTTTCTGCTGTCTTTATGTAAGGAGGAAATGCCTCAAGAATAAAACATAAACCACAGTCTTACTGCTGATTGGATTAGTTTTGTTTTTTTCTACGCTAAGTGTATACAAACACTTGCTTTGTCCATGTGGTATAGCAGTAAAAGTGTTTTTCTGTTTTGTATTAGGTGAGGAGAGAATGTCTCAAAAATCAAAGTTGTGTTCATAGAAAAATGACTTGATCATACTTCTTCAAAGATGAAATCATACCAAAGGTTAGAAAAAACTTAATGTATTATGATTCATTTGTTTCATCAAATGACAGGTGCATTGGATAAACCAATTCAGTAGTATCAACATTCGGCAGTTTTATAGGAATTGGATCATATCACTGAATTAAAAAAATAAAAAAAATAAAAAATATCACTGAATCCACTTCCCATGTTATCTCGGCCACGTATGATAATTCGAATTGATTAGAATTGAGGAATACTTGTCCTAAAATTAAGATCAAACAGATTACACGGCAATGTTGTGTTATTTTTACCCTTAAATAGACACCTTTCTGAACCATTTTATTGCTAGGCATACATAAGTTGCTTGCATTTCCAAACTGACTAAGTGCTCTCTGGCATAGTTGCTGATAATATAGCTCGCTATCTTTTTGTAATTTATTTGTTTAGTCAAGTTAATGAAGACTTGGTTACTTTTCTTTCTTTCTTGGTCCTTCGTGATGTATCATGGCTAATTTTTTTTTCCTTATTTGTTTTAAAAAAAGACACTAAATTATTTGACAGCTTTCAAGAATTTATTTTACTGGCTAGGGAAGAAAAGTGTACATTTAAAAAAAAATGTATCGAGGTGTTAATTATCCACTTTTATAACTGGAAATAAAATGACGGATCATGATGTTCTATATATCTTTTTTTTTTTAAACATGAATGTTACATGTTTGGCTTTCTAGCATCTAATTTAATTTTAAAAGGATATTCTGTCTGTCTGTAACTTATTACGTGCTTCAAGTACATATTGTTTTCAATTATATTTTAATTAACATTATAAAAACTAGTTTTTTAAATACTATAAAAATTTTTAAAATATACTCTAAAAGGTACTCTAAAAAGTAGTCTAAATTTTTTTAATATTTAAAAAATATCCCAAAATATATTTTAAAAACTCTACTATTCTTAAATATTCCAAAATATTCCAAAACATACTCTAAAAACTCTGCTACAATAAAATTTTTCAAAACCATCCTAAAAAATAGCTAATCCAAACGAAGCTACCTGCATATTGCAGTACCATGTCAGATAATATCCTATTGGCCAAGGAAGAATCAAACGTCACAAAGAGGATGGGAAAAATTAAGAAAGAATGAGACAAAAACCAATGCAATGAAGCGTAGTCTAACAGATAATACACTTTACCTATAACTAACAGATTATAGATTCGAGTCATCACCGTGATAAGTAGAAAATCACTGTTAATCCTTTTTTTTAAAAAAAAAAAACAATAAACAAGTGCAGACCAAAAAAAAAAAGAAAAAGATAATTTTGAGCACAATTGGAAGAACACAAAAAAGTAATTTATGTTGAAGTACCTTAAAAGACTCCAAGGAAGAGCAAGACTGCGTTTGATAAAATAATTATAGTGTCCCAGAAAAGCTCACGTGTATGACTTTGTCCTTCAACAAAGGTAAATCAGTCAGTTACCTTCAATACTTAATTGTAATAAGGCCTGTCAACAAAGGCATTGAACAGGCCAAATGAATATATAAATACTCAAAAAGGATATAAAACAAATACTAATAAATACAGCATACTCAAGATTCTAAAAAGGAGCACAATATAATAACCCTATTTGCCGGTTGAACGGCACAACATCACACGAAATAAATCTAAGATATACATCTAGAGATCTGCGCTTGTGTATGACTGCTTCTGTTTTGCACCTTTTTCTTTTCTCTGTTACTTATAGTAGTTCAATTTGTAGAAGATAAAAATGCTGCAACTTCCAACTTGGATGGGCACTAGGTGAGTGACCTATCTTCATCAAACAAAACTGTGAAATTTTTTTTAACATAATTAGTAGCGTCTATTAAAATAAATTATGATCAATTATTGATTAAACTAACAAATAACCTAATTGTTGGTACTGAAGGAAGGAGATGTATGAGAAGAAGTTTGACTCCAACAATTTTGGACATTTCAAAATAAAGTTAAAAAGTGCTTTTCTTTAAATTTTGTGAGGAATGGGTTTTTTTTTATAATATATTTTGAAGGGCAGCAAATATGCTTTGCAATATTTTACTATTTTTTAAACAAAACCTTTTTTATTCATTCATTCACCCCCAGGAACGATTACATCAAAAATTCCGACCCACAGGAATCTTCTCCAAAAGCTAGGAAAGCTTAACCTATCCATCCATATGTCACTGCAGGCCATAGGGGGCAGCTCTACAAAGGAATCAAACAAAGCATCACTTCCCCGGTTCGCACCCATCTTGGCCAGCCTGTCCGAAGGTTTATTTGCCTCTCTAAAACAATGCGATACTGACCGAAACAAACTTTGGAATCGCAACAGATCATCCAATTCCACCTGCAAAGGCCAGGGGCATACATGATCCCTTGTTATGATCTGAACCAGGGTTAGGGAGTCCACCTCCAAGTGCAGATCCATGAAGCCTCGAACTACACACTATTTTACCCCATACACCAAGGCTTTTAACTCGACATGCAGGCTGGTGGTGACACCAAAGAAGCAGGAGAAGCCAAAGAGAAATCCCCCCTGGGAGTCCTGCAAAAGCCCCCCCTCCACTCAACCCTGGATTGCCAAGAGAACACCCGTCTTAAAGAATAGTAGGAAAGAACTTTCTAAGAAGAAAGATTTTTCTTCTTTGTAACAAACCTAACTTTGTAAAATATGAGGTTACTTAGATGAAAACCAAAGAAACTAACTGACGCATCATAGTAGAAATGAATTCACAAGTTATTTTCTTATCATCATCCTCTAACTAGTGACACATATAAGCGAGCATCATATTTTCTCATCATCATCCTCTAACATGTGAAACACACGCATTACAATTGACTCCTTATGCCTTTTTCTTTTGAAGGAATTGTAGTAGTTAAATCAAGATTATTATTATTAGTTAATTTCTATATTGTTGGTCTTGGTTTCCTAGTCGGTAGTGTTTTTTAAGTCCAAGTCCAATTGTTTAATAGATTCCCTTTGTGATTCGGAAGCTAAGTTTTAGGAGACTGAGTGGTCTATATATACCGCTGCTTGTAGCCTGGTCCTGTGTGCCGTGAGTTGAGAAGAATACGATACATTGGTGCCTCCTCAGAGCTTTGCTTGTTTTTGTCTTTTGTCGTTTTGTCGTTGCCTTTTCTTTCCTTCGATTTTCGTTTCCGCTGCAATACTTGTGTCTTTGACTTTGAGTTTTGCCTTGAATTGTTTTATCCTGTGGGTTGTATTCCTACAAAGTGGCATCAGAGTTTTGCTTGAGATCCTAAGAAATTAAAATATGGATCCAAATTATTTGCAAAAATGATTTTGAGGCTGGAGGTCAATGATGAAGAATTTTTTCCAAAATATTGGAGTTTGGAAAATTGTTTAAATAGGATATACGGAACTGGTAGAAGGTATAGAATTATCAAGCGATGCAGTTAAAGAATTAGAGAAAAATAGACAGTTGGATTGTAAGGCAGTGTACTATCTCAACACTCAAGTCCAGTTGCATGTTGCCAAAAAATTTATACATTCAAAGTCAGCAAAAGAGGCTTGGACAATTTTAGTGAACTCAAATCATGATGCTGCTAACATGAGAAAAATTAGATTGCAGGAACTTAGGAGACAATTTGAGTTGGTCCAGATGAAATCCACGGAGTCAGTTAAAGATTTTATTGGCACAATTAAAGAAATTGTCAATGATATGGAGTCCAATGGTAAGAATTTGGAAGAGGTTAGAGTTGTTGAAAAAGTTATGAGATCTCTAACTGCCAAATTTCACACCAAGAAGGCGGTCCTTGAAGCCACAAAGGACCTTGACAATTTGTCACTTGCTGAATTGGAAGGTGAATTGTTGACGTATGAGATGTCCCTGAATCAGCAGCCATTGGATACAGTAGAGGAGATGTTACAAGCCAAGGAGGATCACCCAAAAGGAAAAGAGGAGGTGAATCGCATAGATACAAATCAAAGGGGACAGAACTTCAGAGGTAGAGGACATGGAGGTAGAGGTAACTTTCGTGGTCATGGAAGAGGTAATTTTCTTACCAACCCAGAAATAATTCTAATAGGGATCAGAAAAACAATCAATAGGAAAGTCAAAGAAATAATTTTCAAATGCGTAATAGATCTAATGTGCAATGTTATAATTGTGGTAAAATTGGTCATTATCAGAATGAATGTTGGTCCAATAAAGAGGTACATGCTAAAGGGGCTGAAAATAGTAGTGATAGAGAGGAGACCTTCTAGTTCTACAGCTGAAGAGTCTATGAAGAATGATTGGTTTATTGATTCTAGTTATAGTAATCATATATGTGGTAAAAAGGAGATGTTTTTTGACCTGGATGAATCTTTTGATGCATCTGTGAGATTTGAAAACAATGAAAAAGTGCATGTTCTTGGAAAAGGAAAAATCAGAATTATCTTGCAAGATGGGTCTTCGAATTATATTTCTGATGTTTTCTATGTGCCAAGTGAATATCATAATTTGTTGAGTTTGGGATAATTGTCTGAGAAAGGTTATGATCTGCATTTTAAATATGGTGATGGTACCATAAGTGATGAGAAATTGGGATTAATTGCCAAGGTAAAATGAACCGTAGTCATTTGTGGCCTCTTTCTCTTAACTGTGGTGATTTACCTTGCTTTAATTCCATGACTTGTGATGATTCTTGGTTATGGCATATGCGTTTTGGGCATTTGAATTTTGGGAGTTTGAAATTTGTTGCAAGAAAGAAATTAGTTATTGGGTTGCCTTCTGTTGAGTTTCCTGATAAGAAGTGTGAGTCTTGTATTTTGGTAAAGAAGCACAGGGATCCTTTTCCAAAAGGCAAGGCTTGGAGGGCCAATCGACCGCTTGAATTGATTCATTCAAATTTATACTCAATTGAAGTTCCTTCCAATGGTGGTAGTAAGTATTTTATTACCTTCATTGATGATTTCAGTAGGAAGACATGGGTGTATTTTTTAAGAAATAAATTTGATGCATGTGATGTATTTAAAAAGTTCAAATATTATGTAGAGAACCAGAGTGGCTACTTTATTAAAATTTTGAGAATTGACAGAGGCACTGAGTATCTTGTTTGTGATGACTATTTGGTGGAAAATGGTATAAAACATCAAATGACAGCCAGATATACACCTCAGCAAAATGATGTGGCAGAAAGGAAGAATAAGACTCTGATGGACATGGTCAAGTCTATGATGCACTCCAAAGGTATTCCTAAATCTCTTTGGGCAGAAGCAGTATCTTGTGCTATTTATGTTTTGAACAAATGTCCTACTAGATGCAATTTTGGAAAGACTCCACAAGAAGTTTGGACTGGTATGAAACCGGATATTTCTCACTACTAGGTATTTGGCTGTCTTGCGTATGCACATGTTCCAAATCATTTGAGAAAGAAATTGGATGATAAAGCAGAGAAGTGTATTTTTATTGGATATAGTCATGAGACTAAGGGGTATAAGTTATTCAATCCAAACACAGGAAAGGTAATTGTCGGCAGAGATGTAACCTTTGATGAACATGGAGTTTGGGATTAGTCCAGAAAAGATCCTGAGACATTGCCAAAGTATCCATCCATTTCTCATGGGACTGAGTGCTAGTAAGCAAGTAGTGGAGCAAGTTGTGCACTCTTATGGTGATCCCTCAACTTCTACTACTTAGGTTGAGACATCCAGCCGACCACAGAGAGAACGCCGCATGCCAGCCCGATTTGATGATTATGTTGTTGGCAAAAATGATGATTTAACTGATGAACCAATTGTGAATTTTGCTCGTTTTACAGATTGTGATCCTGTCTCATTTGAAGAAGCTGTCAAAGATGATCGTTGGATTCGTGCAATGGATGAAGAAATTCATCCCATTGAGAAAAATGATACATGGGAGTTGACCACTATCCCACCTGAAAAAAAGCCAATTGCAGTGAAATAGGTATATAAGACCAAGTATAAGCTAACAGGAGAGGTGGATCGCTTCAAAGCAAGATTGGTTGTCAAAGGCTATAAGCAAAAGGCAAGTATTGATTATTTTGAAATTTTTGCACCAGTTGCCAGACTTGATACGGTTCGTATGATTGTCTTACTTGCTGCAAATAATTGTTGGAAAATTCATCAAATGGATATGAAATCCGCATTTTTAAATGGTTTTCTTGAAGAAGAGGTATATGTTGAGCAGCCTGTTGGTTATATTAGAAAAAGTCAAGAAAACAAAGTGTATAGATTGAAAAAGGCATTGTATGGGTTGAAACAAGGTCCTAGAGCCTGGTATACTCGCATCGATACTTATTTTATTGAGCACGGTTTTCTGAGATGTCCATATGAGCATACCTTGTACATCAAATTCAACCTTGGAGGAGATGTCCTTATTGTATGCTTATATGTGGATGACTTGATATTTACAGGCGACAATCCTAAACTAATTTATGAATTCAGGGAGGCCATGATTAGTCAATTTGAGATGACAGATTTGGGATTGATGTCTTATTTTCTTGGTATTGGGGTTCATCAGTTGGATGATGGAATTTTTATCTCACAAAGGAAGTATGCAAGTGATATTCTAAAGAAGTTTAAGATGGATGTGGCTAAACCAATGATGACGCCGGTTGAAGAAAAATTGAATTAACCAAAGATGGTATTGGTGATTTTGTTGATGCTACTTATATTAGGAGGTTGGTGGGGAGTCTCAGGTATTTAACTTCTACAAGGCCTAATATCACTTATGGACTTGGTTTGATTAGTAGATTTATGGAATCTCCACACCAGTCTCACTTGCAAGCTGCTAAGAGAATTTTGAGATACGTTCAAGGTACGCAATCTGACGGTATATTTTATTCATCTTCACATGATAACAACCTTGTTGGATACACTGATAGTAATTGGGCTGGTGATACAATACAAAGGGGAAGCACTTCTGGTTATGCATTTTACTTGGGATCTGGTGTATTTTCTTGGTCCTCAAAGAAACAACAGGTGGTTGCTTTGTCCATGGTAGAAACAAAGTACATGGCGGCAACAAGTAGTGCTACTCAAGCACTTTGGTTGCAGAGAATGCTTGGATTTTTACAACACAAGCAAGACGGTCATACCAAAATATTTTGTGATAGTTTGTCTGCTTTTGAGTTGACAAAAAATCCAATTTTTCATGGACACAGCAAGCATATTGACATCAAGTATCATTTTATTCGCGAGTTAGTTCAAGAGCAAGAAATTGTCATTAATTATTGTAGAAGTGAAGATTAAGTAGCTGATATTTTGATAAAGTCGCTCAAATTGGAGATGTTCATAAAATTGAAGAAAATGCTCGGCATGGTGAAATTTGAAGATCTTGATTTAAGGGAGGCTATGTAGTAGTTAAATCAAGATTATTATTATTAGTTATTTTCTATATTGTTGGTCTTGGTTTCCTAGTCAGTAGTGGTTTTTTAAGTCCAAGTCCAATTGTTTAATAGATTCCCTTTGTGATTCAGAAGCTAAGTTTTAGGAGACTGAGTGGTCTATATATACCACTGCTTGTAGCCTGGTCCTGTGTGCCGTGAGTTGAGAAGAATAAGATACATTGGTGCCTTCTTAGAGCTTTGCTTGTTTTTGTCTTTTGTCGTTTTGTCGTTGCCTTTTCTTTCCTTCAGTTTTCGTTTCCGCTGCAATACTTGTTTCTTTGACTTTGAGTTTTGCCTTGAATTGTTTTATCCTGTGGGTTGTATTCCTACAGGAATTGACTTCCTATGCTTGAGGCAAACTAGCTAGAAGGTATCAAGGCACCAACATGGAAAAGTAAATTAGGAGCATGACACATGCAACTACCCAAGTTGCAGGTTGAGTGCAGTTTGCGAGAATGAAAACTAAGTTTTATATGATGAAGCTCGAAATTTATAAATCCAAGGTCTGAATAACTGATTGTTTACAAGAAATCAACCTTATCATGAGTGAGATTGTGTTCAAAAATTTTTTTCTACCTTTCTTAAAGTATAATTTAAAACAAATCTTCTTTAGTACATTCACATGGCCTAACAAAACTAGGTTATTCAATCCTTGTATGCTTGTTATATGGAAGCAACTTATTTGTTAATCATATGGGTGTCCTTGGTGCAAAGCAAAGAGGAAAGGAGGAAACAGAAAGGATTATATCATCATAAAACTAACAAAGGGAAGAAAGTATTGAAGGATATCTCTCCAACAGAACTAGGGAATTATATCATACGTCACATTTATAATTCTCACTTATATCAGTCTTTTATTTTCCAAACATATGTAACATTTTTTGTGCTGCTGAAGTGTATCCGACAATAATTTCATCCTAAATTTCAATATTGGTGAATATCATTGAGTGTGTTTGGATTGAAGATTATTTCACTTTATTTACACCTTATTTACACATACTGATTTCATTGCATCATTAACACATTTTTCAATCACTTTTTTATCTCACATACATCATATCAAAAAAAGTGCTACAGTAAAAATATCTCAAATAATTTACAATCCAAATATTAAATGGGATGACATTAGAAAGCTAAAATAAAAGAGCTCCCTTATGAAAGCAATAAATTTGTCTCAGATCCCCTACAACTTGCAATACATAAAGTGCACGAGGAACACGAAATTAGGACAATACTGAACTATTTATCATGGGTTAGCATTAGGTACTTTTATTTGTCCACTAATTGATAAGGGCTTCATTGGATTATTTAATACCGGGGAAAATTTTTTAGTGGCTCTCAAACTATTACGAAATTTAACTTTGATCCTTCAAATATTAACCAATAAGTTTTAATCTGTCAACTAATTAAAACATATAATTCTAGTTCTTCCGTTGACTTGAGTCATTATGTCAAATTGAGCTACAGTGGCTCTCAAACTATTACAAACTTCAACATTTGACCCTCTAACTATTAACTCATAAGTTTTAATTTTTCAACTAATTAAAACATATAATCCTAACCATTCTGTCATTTTGAGTCATTATTTCGAACAAAAACATCTTCACATGGACGGCAAGGGGCATTTTTGTCTTCATAGAACATTTTTATCAAATTCTGTTATGTTCATTAGATTCATACATGTCTGGGGGAATTGAAACATTAATATATAGCTTCAAAGCCATTGCTTGTCCTTTGATTGTGACACTAATGTGCTATATATTTTTTCGGTATAAGACACAAAAATAGGGACATTCCAATATGCCCCTTGCCGCACACATGGTGATATTTTTGTTTGACATAACGACTCTAGTTGACAGAAGGATTAGAATTATACTTTTTAAGTAGTTGAACCATTAAAACTTATTAGTTAATAGTTGGATGGCCAATAGTTAAACTTTGTGACGAGATTTTTATATAAGTACAAGTTTAATTCCGAAATATACCCGTTTTGACTGCAAGTATACAGGTCAAATTAGTAGTTTAGGGCAAATATCGGGTCGATCCCACGAGAAAGATTGGACAATTACCGGCACTATTAAACCTTCTCTATTATTTAGACGATCAATGAATTAAAAGAAATAAAACT